ATTTCATGCTATGACAATTAAGTTTATATATATTCTTTTCGAAATGAGTTTGTATTATTAAACTTGTATAAATATTGATGTTGTTGCCGATATCATTAATAAATTTTATTATACTTATTATTATGTTGTTATGAAATGAACTAATCATTATTTTTCACTTTTGAAATGATATATCGTACATCATGTGGGGAAAATTATAGCTCTTTATTTTTTTTATCTTTATTTTGGTAATGAAGCAACTTGCAGCTAATCATATAGGTGCACCGAGTAAACCTACACTCTCGTATAATAGCTTGCAAACCATACGAAAGACATAAATCACACTAGACTAATCATGTGTGACAAACTCGATCTAGCAACCGTTAACAATGAGATTCGAACTTGGGTCAACTGACACAAACTAACTTGTTTCAACCGTTAGGCCATTTTTTTCGGCGACGCTTGTTCTTAATTACTTAATAAAGCCTAATTTCTAGGCCAGCCTTTTATCGCCTTATACAAAAATGTCTAGACAACCAAATATTCCCCATTATTTTGCCAGTTAAATTCAATCTCCATTTTATATGAATTGTTTTTGAAGTTATATGAAAAAAGTTAACAAAAATAAAATGTATTTTGGGGAATTAAACGTACAGTGAGAAATATTTGAAAATAGTAGCAAAAATTGTCGTATAATTAGAGTGGAGCCCACAGTATTGAATGAAGCTTTGAATTCCATAATTCAATCAGCTTTCTATCGCTATCAATAAATAGGTTACAATTTTGTTTGTAGCTAATATTTCATATTTCACGATCATATAATTTATACATGGTGGGGTAATTTGTACTTGTACTTATATATATATATATATATATACAGGGCCGGACCTGACATTTTCGGGGCCCTAAGCGAACTTGAAAGTACGGGTGAGAACGGTTCGGTTCGGTTCGGTTTTAGGCACAAACCGGAACCGGAACCGAAGTGTTCGGTTCCTAAAGAACAAAAAACCGAACCGATCGGTTCCTTGCAGTTCGGTTCCTTCTCGGTTCATAAATTTCTCGGTTCGGTTTTCGGTTCGGTTTTGGGCTCATTTGGGCCGGAAAATCAGCCCAAAAATGTCAATAAATCAACTCGAAATTCAGAAATAAAAAAAATCAATAAAAGACAAGCCCAAATGTAGGCCCAAAACAGGGCCGAAAATCAATGAAATTCATTCAAGTAAAAAAAGATATATATATTTAATGAAACGACGTCGTATTGATGTCGGTTCGGTTCTTCGGTTCGGTTTCCTACCTGGAAAACCGAATACGAACCGAAATTTTCGGTTCACATAAAATTGAAAACCGAGTATTCGGTTTATGCTTCGGTTCGGTGCAATTCGGTTCGGTTTTATCGGTTTTCGGTTCGGTTCCTCATTTTTTTTTTCTCACCCCTACTTGAAAGTTTGGTATGGTTTCTTACTATATCATCAAAGTTTCTTTCTTTTTAGTAATACATTATCTTCTTACTCAACTTAAAGTTTATTAATTTATTTTCTCAAAAAAAAAAAAAAGTTTATTATATTATTAAAATAATAATAAAATTCTGAAAAAATTAAGTAGTGAACAATAAAAAGATTTGGCTTTCTAACATATTACTAAAAAAAATACACAGTTCACTACATATAATAAAGAATTTTAGATTATCTCGAAAATATTTTAACCTAAAATTAATTAAGTGCTTCAAGTATAATTTAATTATATTATTTTTTATCCAATATTCACTTTCACTTTTTATAAGTCACACGTGGACTCATTTTGAGTGTTTGAATATATTTAATATTTGTTTATTATATACGTATATGTATGTATGTATACATTACACAAAAAACACAAAATTGGGGGCCCCTTTGAGATGGGGGCCCAAAGCAGCTGCTTGTGTGGCCTCCCATCAGGGCCGGCAATATATATATATCTCCATTAATTCTTTTTGTTTGTTTGGAATGATGCATGATTCTGAACAATGTGATCGTTGGATTATATTATTAGGTACCTTATTGTGTGATTTTTAATTAATTAATTTCCTTTTTTTTTTTAAGTTTTTTGCCGAGTTCAATTTTTTTTGAAATATGTCGTTTAAATTATTTTTGGTGATAGGAATTGTTTTGGAGGTTATTTTCATTTTACTTTGGATCGGGGATTTGAGGGAATAATTGAGAATGAAAGTAGTGTTTGTTTATAATTTGAGATAAGACAAAATACGCTGTAAAAGTCAAATTATTTTTGAATGTGTTGAAAAAATGTATTTTAACGATCAACATCAAATCGAGTATCAAGTATTGTTTGTTGAATCATATGAATATATATGGGGAGTTACCTAATTTATCTGAAAAGCTTTCTTTCAAGTATGCTTCCAACTTCGGACATTCATTAATTAATACATCAATGTACATGTATATGTCAAAGCATATATACTCCATATAACAAACACACATAAACTAGGCTGAATATTTATTATGAATTTTTATTTTTTTTATTTTAGATTATTTTTAAAATAACTAAACTATTGGTATCTCTCCTATATTTATTTTGAGAATAAAGCCCGTTGAATAGATTTCTTATAAATAAATACGAAATGTGTAATAGGGTATTTTTCTAAAAAAAAAAAGTTCCCTCATAAAATATTATTAGGGGTTGATGAGTTATAATTCAGTTACCTAAATTTATATATTACATTGTAATATTCCTCCGTATATATGGGATTATCTATTACTTCTCAATTTTAATATAAATAAATAAATATGATATAACACGAAAGTCGAGATAGAGGGTTTCGATGCTACACCAAATTATATACACCTGACGATTTGTAACCGTCAACGTACATACTTTAATTTCATGTGTACGTATTTGTGTTTCATCGTGAGTAGTTATTTAACCTAATCGAGCAGTAAAAAAAAAAAAAAAACATGAATGAATGTATGGAGAGTAAAATTGAAAGATGGATGAAGAGTACGTACGTGGGCAATATATTAATGTATGTGTACTAATTGGGTGGAAAGAAAGGAACTACACTTTGGTATTCTCTGGATACATACAATCTAATCTAATGGGGGCCTGGGCCCCCCTCCTCTAGAAGGTTAATATTA